CCAGTGATAGTTTCTATTTATTTGATCAGGTATTTTATCAAACCATAATATTCTTGAAGAGTTTTATTCTTAGAATATATTACAGCAGGGATTTGTGACCAATTATTGTCATTGGATAATGCCTCACTCAAACTAAAAACCTTCATAAGTTTGTTTTGAAATTATAAGATTTCCTTTTGACACATTTTTAAAGTGAACTATTTTCATTGATAATTTTAATGAATTCTCTTCATTTTTCTGTTGCCTTTTATCCTGATTCCTTTGGATTTCATGCCAGAACAAAGGATGACAGTATTTTTTTTTTACATTTATGGCTTCAGATGAGAAAACTTGAACTGATATGTAGGTTAAGTTATCTAAAAATATTATAGATTGGAAATGAATAACTTTTACCCTTTTTAATAAGGATACAATTAAAACCAATAACTGTGTAGAGAGTAGCCATGGTCAAATGCAAAATAAATAACAGAACTGTCCAATAAACAGAATTGATAAAGTTTACAATAAAAAGAAAAAGGAACAGGGCAAAAAAAATAATATCAAGCAAGCAAACAATATATGCAAGGCAAATTAATAGTAATAAGGTGACAAGTTCACAAACTAAGAATTTGGGTTAACACACAAAAGCAAGTTCAGACAAGTGAACGTCACATTCTGACTACAAGACAAGACAGATTGGACCGAATCATATGAAACTGTAAACCAACCTGCATTTGTATGTTTCTGCCTATAAAAGGGGAGGGAAAATTGTTTTGCAGTAATTCTTACTAGATTGAAATCAACAAATTAAAAACAAAATGAAAATAGTTCTTACCAATTCCAATTTTTGCTTTTCATGTTCTTGGATTTTGTCAAGACATTCTGCAATTAGATTCAGATTGTAGGTTTCTGCAAATTCTTCTTTCATTGAAATGATATCCTTTGAAATCTTCCTAAAAGTTTCTGTGATTTCATGAACCAGCTGTCGGTACAGAGGAAAATTGTAGTTGGGTTTTCCTTTTAGATAACCCTGAAAGCCTCTAATTACAATAAATAAGATTACAATTTGTCCTTGAAAAAAATCAAAATATCAAAAACAAAATACTAGAATTATTATAAATTGTGTAGTATGTGATTTATAACAGGAAACACTAGCAGTCTGAATTGAATTTAATGTCAATAAGGAGCCTTTGATCTAAGAGAAGTTGATCTCTGGTGACCCCAATATGTACTGGGCTAATCTGAAGACATACCAAAGCTTTATACTGTGTCACATCAGAGGGTTGATCTAAAAGGTAACCTTATAACCATCAAGTACAGAATTGGACCTCAATGGGTGCACCAACATAAACAGGAAATGAACGCAGCTAAGCTTAAGATATAGACAACCGAATGACAGCAAACTATATAAACATCCAACCCACAAGGAAGAATGTAGACTCTTTCACATTATTGCTAAAAGAAGGTTGAATACTCAAAGAACATCCCTGAAAAAACTATATAGCCTTATAGTCAATGTTAATTTGACAAAGTCCAAAAGTGGATAAGCAACAATTTTATATATGACAGATTTAGTCTTTTATTCTTATCAGACATTACCAACATCATGTCAAAATTGTATTTTTAGTTCTATTTTATTAAATGATCAGACATTGTTCCAATTGTACCACAAAGAGAGATGAAATGGGATAAACTTTGATATAAATAGGTTAAAATACATTGGGACGGAGGTACATCAGAAAAACATGATATAAAATTCTAATTAAGTACAGGCACCCAAAATAATGCTCCTTTGTAAAATAAATCCATAAAACAAAAAAATAAAAAGGAATTTTTAATTTCATTCAAATACCTGACAGTTAATAAAAATACAAACCAATATATTCTCTTTTTTGTTGATGTTACAAATATTCTTATTGATGTTGCTATTATCAAGAGATACAGTTTTATTATTGAAAGCATTAAAAATCTGACATATAGGAGGTGCAAAAGTAGATACACAGTAGTGAAGCACAAAACATACTGTATTGATTATACAAACACCTCAACAATAAACATATCAATCCCTCAAATATTCAAACTGCTTGCCCACATCATTTGCACACTCCTGCAAAACATTTATTATTATTTAGCAAAAAATGAAAATTATAATAAATGTATTATAATAAAAATATTAAAAATGATTTTGATGAATTCTAGTATTAAATGAAACCAACAACTACTATTATAATACTAGTAATACTGGTATAATACTTAATGTATACCTACTTTTGCAGCCCCCCAGTATTAGGTAGAGTCAGCCATAATGCAATATACATATTTACTTGCTATGCCTTAAGAATGGTTATTTGGAAGGGTGAATAAATAATCTACTTTAAAACTATTACATTTTCTAGTATCTACTGTGAACAGTACGTTAAATAAAAGCACCAAGAGAGCTAAAAAGAGCACCCTACAAAAAACCATGACACTCACTCTTCAAACAGCTTATATGTCTGAATACGCTCTTCTTGAAGAAGGTAGAATCTTTTCAATAAATCTCGGGCCATTGCTCTGTAAAAAAAGAACAAAGATTCAATTAACAAAAAAAAAAGCCTGCAATTAAAATAAGTGATATAAAATACAAAAACTCTACACTAAATACAATATAACCAAAAATACTAAATAAAAAAAAAAAGAGAGAAACTATTGAAACTCAAGTTCATCCCAGATCTCAGGTGGAACTGATAAATATGATCCATCACTAAAGATGCTGGAAAAATGGTCAGTCCTTTGTGCTACTCCAGAAAGTACTTGCCTCCTCCTGCCATACTCTATCTTTACAAGAGTTAAATCAGATCAAAAATGAATTTATATCTGGGCTGGAACTGCCCAACCATCATTTCTAGTTTTGACAAGGGGTCAAAATCATTTACAGTCTTGCTTGCAGGCAATGAATTATTTTCAATCCTACAGTTACTTTCCATCAGATGAAGCATTAGAAGCATATCTTCAGACAAGTAACATTCTTTAGTTCTACCAGTTTAGACCTTTACAGCAAGGACCCACCATGCCACTTACACTGGGTTGAATCATCCACATTCCATTTGCAAGAAGGAAGTTACACTCAAAGAGCTTTTTCTCAAGAACCACTTTGTGGAACAAACCTCCAAGAGGGTGCTTCTCTGATTACTACAATCTTAACCTATTCAAGTCTACGGTCAACCATTATCTTACATATCCTCATAGTCTGCACTTAATTCCTTATCTTATGTCTATACAACCTCATTCAGTAAACTTTACCTTGAGTAGCTCTTGCGATTTCCTTGTATTAGTTAAAAAAATTCTACTCTAACAAAAATTTAACCAATGAATATCAGTGGGCGTCACAATACGGAGTAATAGTAATCTAGTCAAGTTAGCCATTGCTACAAGCAGTGAGTTCAATCTTCACTGGGTGTACCAATCTTTTGGTCATGTGCCAAAAAAAAAAAAAAAAACTATACTTTGTAAATAACAACCACTGTTTAAGAATTTTTATTATTTCATAATTTCCTACTGTGTTGACTTTTGAACAAAAGAAAGACATGAATCATCTTTTCTCCTCCAGTTATGAGTTAAACAGTAGACTGAACTCTTTCACTTTGGGTGGAAATTAGTCATGGAGGACTACGATTGCCTGTATCCTGAAAGAAGATGACCAGATTATCCTTTAGGCTAGAATAGGCTGCAGCCAAGAGCCCCTCAAGCTTTTATAAAGCAATAATTTTTCATTTTCTAGATCTTATAACTTCTAGTTTCATAAACCAATATCAATATGACAAACTCATATTTGACTTTGTAGGAAGCAAAGGAAAAAAATGTTTTTAGTTTGTATCAAAGTAAATAACAATGTTTGATTTTAGTTCAGAATGTTTAAGAAATATTTGTAAAGCAATGATTTTAATTTTCTAGATGTTATAACCTCTCTAAATAGTTTCATAAACTGAATGATATCAATGTGAGAAACTCATTTTTTTTTTACTGTACGTTAATAGTAAGTTACGATTCATAAAAATTACTAGATACTTCAAAGCAAACTATTCAAACATTTTTTAGTTTAATAAATTGAAGTGACTCTAAAAAAAATAAATGCCCTTTCCTGTGTGAATTCATTGGAAATTAGATATTTTTTTAAAGAGTAAAAATGTCACTTCGATTGGCAATTTTTGAGTTTAAACTTTAAAACGAAAACGTAGAATAGGAAAATGGTAAGTTTGATAAAAAATTTCAATAAAGTCTCGGAATAAATCACCAAGTCGCTCATTAACTTTCTTCCACTTCGATTCAGTATGGCTTGAACCGCTTAGACGACGAAAGAAGAAAAAGTTATAACACACTTGATTCTAACTGCACACTTTTAGCCTAGGTAAAAAAAAAAATGAAAGCAACAGAAAATAAGATAACTAAAAAAAAAAAACACTTCATCAACTTTCAAATTTTTACACGAAAACCAAGAAAATTTTTAAATATTTTGCGGCGTCTCAAAGCCTGTCTTAAAAAAACAGCTTGTTTTCAACAAAAAGACTGTTAAAAATATGTATATAATTACTCTAACCTGGTTGACGAAAGAAAAGAAAAAAAAAAGCAGACGCAAAATGATAGTTAGTGGTAAATAAAGAAAGGTTGCATAACTAAAAAAAAAAATAAAGCTTTTCTAAACTTGATAACTTCGTGCTTAGTTATAGCTATATTAATAGTTTTATTCCTCCCCAACGATACGAACTTTACAAATCTGAAAAATAGTTGTTGAGAATATAACGTTAAAAAATATATAATAGTAATTAAATGTGTTTTTTATTGAATGATACTGGAAATTCAATCTATTACTATGAATTTAAATACGAAAATGGCAAAGCTGACTTTACCTGTTGGCGAATTCGACTAGTGGCGCTCAATGTGGTCAACTGGACTCTTACGAAAAAAAAAAAGAAAATGTTTACTTAGATTTTGAGGATGATAATTTTATTTAGAACCAAAAACAACATATCAAAAATTTTGACATGACACATAATGAAAAGCGAAGTCATTGGCTCAAAGAAGGAGCTGTTGGACTCGGGGGTAAGTTTATTAATGTTATTTTCTTTTCTTTGTGCTCTTTCTCTGAGGAAATAAAAAAGGTTCTTTTGGGCAAGTTTGCTTTCTATTACATGAATTATCCCAGTTCATTTGATGGTTAACGAGGAAGTCATGCAATCTCCAATTGTTCCTATATGCCAAACTAAATTAGATTCTGTTATAAATCTTGCCTTTTTGTTAGAAAAAAAAATAACATTTTTCTTTTTCGCCAAAGATCAAGGCAAACGAACTGAGTCCAAGTACACACAGCTCGGCCCAAGGACCGAACTCACAATTACTGTCACCAAATTCTCAATCACTGCTTTAATCTACTAGGCTATTGTACCATAATTGTGAGTTCACAATTTTGGCACTCTGTACTTTCTGGTTTTCGTCAGATGTTTGTACTCTGTAATGGGCATCCCTAAAAAAGTGAACCAAACTTGAAAAGTGGTGTCTTTCAAAATTGCCTGAATTTTTTTCCTAAGTGAAATAGTCCTTGTACCCAATGAATCCTTAAAATTTAAGCTCTGAACTATGTATTCTAATTTTACGGTTATTCAAAGTAGAAGGCTGAGAAAAATTTGTGGATTTTGCTAAATTTGGAACCATAATTAAATTCTGATATCTCAAGATTGAGACATTTTCAATCTTTGTACATACAACCTTCTTCAGAAATACACTGTAATTAAATAATAATGAATGTGTTCTAATTGTTTTCGTTTTAAAAACGAGAGAAGACATTTTGAAATTCGAAATTTTGGCACCATGTAACAACCATACTTAGTTTCATTTTTAAATGAAGAACCAAGGAGCTGACATTTTTTAATAACTAGGTACAACGGCTACTTGCGTCTCTTGGAATAAATTCTAGACAGTTTTGAAAGATACCACCTCTCAAGTTTAGTTCACTATTATGCCCTAAACTTCAAAATTTTGAACTGGACCTTTTAATTAAATTTAATCAGTTCACAGGTTTGATTGTTCTCATTCTGCTTTTCATGTCTAGGGGAGATAACTCATATCAATACTCTCCACTCCTTTCTATTTGCCTTTCACTGAATGACTTTCTGCACTACCCAACCCAAGGATTGAACTCACAACTATAAGAGAAGCAGATATATTTTATAATTGACGTAGATTATCCAATTTTTTTCTATTTTATACTTTTAAAGCAACTTTATCAAAGCTACATTCATGAATCACTTAATTTATTTACTCAAAGTTGGATTTGTTCCAGTGAGAATCAAATTTGTCTCCCATGACTTAAAATAGTGAGCACTGTTTGAAGTAGATGTATATAGCCGAAAAGAAGTATTTTTCTAAAATTTCAATCTGTTTCCATGAATACCAAGCTACAGCTAGTTTTACACAAAACAAACACCATCTTCAACTGGCAATAAGAGGCATTTAAAAATAAAATGTATCCAATTACATTGTGTTGGTAATATGAACAGAAAGTTTGATTGTGTCTTATAAAATTTTTCAAGGTTCAACTGAATAAAAAGCAAATGATCGATTTTTTTTTTTTTTTTAAATAGGTGGATCTGTAATTAGTCATGATGCATTTGAAAAATATGTTTGTAAAACTTTCATCTAAAGGCAAATCTGTTAAATCACTGACTAATCAACAAGTAGCAACAACCTTATACCAGTCACTTCATTTTTGCAAAACCTGTGCATCCAAGTGCCTTCTTTTAACATACTCCCCTCTTTATGATATACTCATTAAATATAGCATTTTTATCTTGCCATAACGACAGTTATAATTTAGTCTTCTGTGTAAACGGTTTATATATCTGAGTGAAAGTGAACATTGTATTTTTCTGGATGAAAACACTTAGACTCAATGCTTTTCCTGTGACCTGATTATTAACAATAAAAACAGACTTGACAACACCCTACTATTTATAGAGAAAAACTGTCCAAACTGGGTGTCAGATGATAGCTAGCTGAAATAAGTCTCTTCATATCAAACTTGGAAGACAGCCAGTTCTCTATTGCTAGAGAATTAATCACCTGTCTTGTTGCCATTATTGACTATGTATATGTGCATTCATTCTATTAATAATAAACAGGAGGGATAACAGACTGTATGCTCCTAAAGTGTGAAATCAAGTAAAAAAAAAAATCCCACTAACCTGACCTCCACCAGGAAGCAAAGGGAAGCATTACATTCATCCGTTCTATTCCTTATGTTCAACCATTAAGCTATGAACCAATACTTGTTTTCAGTTTAATAAACGCTTTCATTGCGATTATTGATTGATTGTTTTTTATGGTTTATCAACCCATCATGGTTTATTTAAACTCTAAACATATTTTGGCTTGAAATAAGATTTTTTTTTTTTTTTTTTTTTTTTTTTAATGATTTTTCCAGATGCAAGTCCCCTATTTAACCCAAAGCTCTCTAGGGATAATGGTCTTACCTTTTCCAAGGGTATTTACACATAAGTGGACATAATGAAACTGACTGTAATTCAAACTCAGCTCTCCAGTTTCTCATTTGCTTTTATTGCACATTGAGTGACAAAAAGTTTAATTTTTATCTTTTATGATATAAACAGATATTTTTTTCATCAGCCACGAGACACTCCTATTTCTTCTAAATGGAATATGTGAACCAAAATTTAACACAAAATACTTTTGAGTTTTTTTTTCCCATTTTAGAAAAACTTGCATTTGTGTTACCTCTGAGTTTATCCAGGAACAATTTTGATTTCAAAGATTTTGATTAACTACTTTATTTTTTTTAAATAACTGGATTTTTCTTAATATCTCTTCTGTATAATCTATTTCAAAATGTTGTTAATAATGACAACTTTTATTTTTTTTAAATACTAATTAGAACCTAAAATCTGTGTTTTTGAAAACGATCAAATTTCTTATTGTTTTTTTTTTTTTTTTTTTATCTATCAGTTTTTTTGTTTTTTTTTCAATTGAACTTTTAAAAAATGTTAATATATTAGAGAAAACAAAATATCGATTAAAACGAAAAAAACTGCTCAAAAAGCTGATTATAATTTATAAAAGTGTTTCTCAACCTTTCTTACTTCAGGGCACACTCAGAATAACTAAAACTCTGGAACATTAGTCAGGAAATATAAAAATTGGATAAGTGCATTTAATGGTTGTTATTTTTGGTTGATCATTAGAGTTTTCATTTAAAGGGATTTATGAAGAATCTTCTTTTATTTTTATTTTTTTTAATTTTTTTTTTATAGATCCCTTAAGGAAGGCAAAAGGGAAATGATTATCCACTATTCCTTAAATATTAAGGAATTTTGCATCCAGTTTAAAATATCAAAAGCCAAAGACTTTACTTAGACATGGAAGCCATGTGCTTGGTGTCTCCAGACTTTTAAAAATAACAATTTTTTTTTTTTTTTTTTTTTTTTTTTAATAAAAATAATTCATAAATTATTCTTCTGTTAACTTGGGACAAATCTGGCTTTCATGACACATTAGTGCACCCGAGCACACCAGTTATGAATTTTGATAATGACTATTTAAATTTTGATTAGCAACTTATTGTACAAACCCTTTAATTACTGTTTCATATGAAGTAATCTTTAGGTAAACTATTTTACAGATGTCAGAACTCAGCAATCTGTTGTCTGCTTTGTTCCTTGAATAAGCCATATTTGTTCTATTCTTCTATTTGATAACTTCTCCTGCCTACCTGTTGCATAAAGTGTTACACTTGAAAGAACAGAATAAATATTTGAGCATTCATGAATAAATAACCCAATTTCTTTTTCATATACACAATACGTCATAAAACATTTATTCCAGCTATATTCAAGGAACCTATTTAATAGCTTTTATGTGGGTTATTCAAGGTCTCAAGAAACTAAAAAAACTCATTTATGTTTTTAAAGGCAATGTCAGTTCTCTGTTATTTTATTTAAAAAAAAAAAAATTAAAACTGTCATAAAATTCAGTTTCAAACCTCAACAAGTTAAAAATTTCAAAATTATTACAAATTAGAAATACCCATGAAATTTTCAGTTTTCTCATTTTAATTTTCTTGATTCTTAAGCTAATAAGCTCATAGCAAGATCTACAACAATGAAATATTCATAGAAATTCCCTTATCACATTGTTAAATATTTGAGCTTAACAACTTTTGCAACAATCATAAATATAAATGCTCGTCATTATTTTAAGAAGTAAATTGGTACAAATGAAAAGATTTGAAATTGACAACTTTTCCATTTCACTGAAACAAACATTAAATACTTCTATTTTATCTTTCTTTCACTGAAACCAAGTAGCATCTCTGGTATATCTTTTACGTCTTTATGTGATCAAAACACAATAATCCATTAATTACAAGGTATAGTGCATAAAGGTTGTGCTAATGGAGGAACAAGTAGAATAATAATAATAATGTCTTTTAATATAATATAATAATAATTTAAAAGTTAATGTATGATACTTGATATTGTAATAAAAAAATTTAAATCCAAGTTTGTCAGGTCAATGGACTACTTAAATAGAGTGGTCCTTTCATAAAAATAGGACAAATCTTTTTGGAAATAATTTTTGTAGATTAACGTTTAGACCACAATTTTTTTTTTTTTTTTTTTTTTTTTATTGCTATTGCTTTATGGCCTCTTGTTTATAATATCAAAACTCTGTCAAATGGATCCCTGACTCTTACATAATCATTGGACTTCTGTTATTTTTCATTTTTTTAACTGTTCTTTTTTTTTCTTTTTTTAAATTTAAATAGGATTTTTTGGGAAGGACATGCACAAACATTTAAGGTTCATAATTATTTTTCTTAAAGAATAAAGAGATGCATAATCTTATTAATATATGTAAATTTTTATTAAAAATGTATATATCTGTTCTTTATTTAGTAACTCAGTAAAAGTCAGAGATTCATTTGTCACTGTATCAATATAAACTGGAGCCCTTCTAAATCAATAAAAAAATCAATACTTTTTATTCTGACAAATGTCACAGCCTACGAAGGGTCTAAATAATTTTAATTAAGAAAACTTATTTCAAAAAGGATTTTTCTCAATTTTTTCTGAGTGGACCACTCTTTTTAAATAGTTCCTGATCAACTTTTGAGGAATAACAAATGATCACATTAGTCTTTATTATACCAACATAATTTTGATAACTTCTTTTCAGTGAACTGTCAAAAAGTACATCTGTTATTAATATTATAATAATCTGACTAAATCTAGTGAAGGACTATTTACATTCAAATTAATAAGTCATTCACCTACATTTCATTATATGGTGATATAACAAAAGTTCCCCAGTCTATACAGTTTTTTTTGTTTTTTTTTTTTTGTTTATTATTATACAGAGATTTTTTTTGTTAATCTTGTAGTTGGTGTTCTCTATGGCTTGACCAGCATATGTGTTGGACATCCAATTGACACAATAAAGACGAAAATGCAAGGACAGATGGGCTTTGAAAAAACAAGCATGGTTCAAACTTTTGTGCGTACAATCCGGACACAAGGTATCCGTGGATTATACAGGTAACTGCTTTGAAGTGATTTATTTGCTTTCATAATTTTAAATATCAAACAGTAGGAAGAGCATCTGGTTGCAAATATTTTGCAGTTCTTACTTCCCAATAAAGTTTTTAAGGAAGAGAAAATAGGTGGTCAGTTGTACAACTTATTTCTTTAGTAGAAAGTTATAAATGCGATTGAAATGTTATTAATTTTATTGTTGATCTGATAAATGTATAAAGAATGAAGTGTGGCATTGTGTGGTGCAGAAAGCTAAAGGTTTATTTATATATATATATATATATATATATATATATATATATATATAAATAATGTATATGTAAAAAAAAAAAAAAAAAAACAATTCTTAGAAATAATCTGTAGAGAAAGACTTATGTATAAAGGAAAAAAGACGATAAGAAAACTATATACCGTTTTAACAAATGTTTTTGTCCAATGTGGACTTTTTCAAGGCAAAAAAAATTAAATGAATTTATTTGAACAAATTATATTGGGTCAACTGAAAAATTGCATCACTTACTTTTCATGTTTGAAGACAAATGCACTGATCATACATCGAAATAAATTCAACCACAATTTTGTCTAAGTGACAAACATTTTACTTGCATTAATTATATATATATATATATATATATATATATATATATATATATATATATATGAGTTATTCTGTGTTAAATCAACAAGGGTCTGACCATCACCAACACAGATTTTTTCAAAATTTGGTACACTTATAGTTTCATGATACGAATTGAATGGTGCCTATTTTACATCTGTAGGTCCTCTCAGGAACCCTTTGACCTTTGCCAAAAAGTTGAATTTTGGAAAATAATCACAAAGTTTAAATATCAATATCTGAGTTGTTTTTTTCACCAACAAAGTTAAATCATTTTAAAATACTTGGATAGATCTAAAAGGTGATTTGTGTATTTTTTTGTTTAATTGTCAAATGAGATAATTTGATCTTGACTCTAACTTTTGAGCTTTAATTTCCCAAAAGACGTATCTTTAATTTTTTTATTTTTTTTAAATTTGACAATAAATTTGCCTTATGACAAGATGTGTACAAAATTGTGTAGTGAACTTTTGACTGTGGCCTGAATTACAAGGGTTTTACTGAGTTGGGACAAATTCAAAATATCAGATTTTGGTATTTACCACTATATGCTAACATTTTCCTATGTCCCAATATAGTCAAGTTGTATACCTTTAGAAAGCGCTTTGAATGCTGATTAATATTCACATAAGAACGATGATCATAAAATCATTAGAATTTGTGTTATCTGTGGTTAAATGTTGACTAATTCAGTGGAAACTAATTTTGACTAAAATTTCTCATCAAGTATCTTGAGAGGTTCTCATTTACAAAGTATAATTTTCTACATACAACATTTGAAAGTGTGTGCAATACCCTGCCCGCATCAGCTGCCAACCAGGGGAGGTAACAGTTTCAGTGACTAAGACAGTACTGCCACCCTTGGTACCAACAGCAGTTTTTACCACTGAACAGGGTATTGTTTTTCATTATTGACATGTCAGTCTGTGATTTTTATGCAACTCATAAAATTCAGAGAAACTCATTTATAAAGTATATCAGATACATCACCCAAATTAGTTTTCCTGTCATTTAATTCAATTTGAACTAATAGATTATTTTTGTGCAGTCACTGTATTCATTCCTGTTAATGTAGGTAAAAATATTTTTAAAAATTCTTAAACAGCCTAACTGGTCTGCTGATATCATAAAAATAGGTAATTTTAAAAATATTAAAATATCGAGTAATTTTGAAAACATAATACTTACCTTCCCATAACAGAAATGAATATGGTTACAGAGAGTCACCTGTGACAATTGGATGATTACAGATAGAATTAGTGGATATCAAGATGGATGCAATTTTGTGATAATAACAACAAAGATGAGGACATTAGTCTGAATGTAAATAATGACAACTTATCCCAGAATTTCAGACAGAAACTTTTAATTTTTTTTTTTTTTTTCTAACTAGTCCGCAATCTTGTTTCTGTCATTGACTCTACACTCCTTGCATATAGCAGTTTAAATGATATGCAATGCCAATGGGATTTCTTGCTGATGCCACAAAAGCTTTTTGTCCTACAATAAAAAAGAAGAAACTATTATATTTCAAGTGGCTCATCAGATTGCATATTATGAACTGCCTTTGTATAATCTATGAAACCTAGGTAGAGGTCTTTCTGCATTTGTATTGCTTGCTCTGATAGCATTCTGATCATAAAAATAGCATTTCTTGTCTCAGTGTCTTCAACAAAGTCACTTTGTTTTTGTTGCATTTCCAATCTAATTCTGCTACAAGTTGTTATAGAACCTCTGGATTAATTTTGTTATCTGGCTCTCATTAAGCCACATTATCTGATAGAGCTCACATTAATTTTCACCTGGTTTCTTTGGCAGTGCTATGAAGATAGATTTACTGTGCTCTTCTGGTATTTCGTATATAAAACTGATCCCCGGGGTACTTGATTATCTTGTTCACTACATCACCACTGTCATATATTTCATTTATTTTGGTAACCTTATCAATCTCCAAATCATCTACAACTGTCAGCATTTCTGGTCCTGCTGTTCTTTTTTTTTTTTTTTTTTTGTTTTTTTTGTTCATCTTGGCCACTGCCAATCTTACATTAGATTTTAATATGAGAACTCCTTCCATATTTTATATATTATAGGCTTCTCTGCTTTGTTATCATGGAAGAACTCTTTGATGTATTCATTCCATCTCTGGAGTATCTTTTCTTTTTTTTTTTCATTATGATTGTTCTTTTTTAGATTTTATGCTCTTCCTGTTAAATAGCACGTAATGAGTTCAGAAAGAGTTCATCTGCTTCAGAAGCAACAAGGAATGTTTGCTTGATCTATGGAAATACAATCTTAAGTGTGAGGAAATGCCAGCAATGGTATACTCAATTTCACTCAGGGAATTTTTCTATCAAAGATTCATCACTTAATTTTGCAATAAAAATAAATCTGCACGGCAGTCCATACAACAATTATAACCCAATCTTCTGAAACTCAATAATGCATCAAAACTTAGTCAATAAAATCCACAATATCTGACCAGTTTTCAACCTAATCACATAATCTATATGTCTGTTGTTAAAGATAACACTACCAACCCATTTCTGAAAATGAATGTCACTAATGATGAAAAGTGAGTCCATTATATTTAAGAACAGGATTACAGCCTGAGAAAGTAAGGCTCTGTACTTGGTCAGATATGATTGATTGATTCATTTTTTTTATGGCTTATCAACCCTTTGCAGGTTATTTAAAGCCAGAAAATATTTTTAGATTAAGAATTTTGGGTGGGGAGATAATAATGGTTTGGTGATGCAAATCTTATTAATTAGCCCATAGCTGGGAGGAGAAAAGGTGGATTCATAAGTGAATATAATGAACCCAATAGGAATTGGAACTCGGCTCTCCAATTAACAATTCCAAGCCATTATCCATTACACCACTCATGCATCCACAGCACCTGATATTCCCAAGCAGTCACCAATCTAGGTACTGATCAGGTTCTCGTTGGTCAGATATAAAGAGAATTATCTATCAGATGGGGCAGTCTTTGTTGAAAAAACAAACTTGACTGATCACTTGGAAAGGTGTGTTACTCTTGCACAACAATGCAAAACACACAGGAAAAAATTTTAGCTCTGAATAAGAAAGCTTTCCTTTCTCTCATCTTCTCTCTCTAATTTGCTTTATCAGATCTTTACAACATTTCCCAAAGACAAAAAATATACCCATTATGAAAAAAGTTGTAAAACACTCTCCCTCCCCCTTTAAATCAAAAGAATTTAATGCCTAAAGCATGAATAACTGTTCAATGGGTTTTTTATCAAAAAAAGAAAGAAAAAAAACTATTACTTTGGTTGAGTTTGTAATTTATATTAGGTTGGTACAAAAATAATGTCGTTTTTTGATGTTCAACTTCAAAAGAGAAAACGAAATTATTTTTGCACCAACCTAATATTATGAAAGAAGACCTTCTCTGTCCATCGTGCACTGTTGGCATTTCATTTTGCATGCACAAAAACAAATCTAATATATAGAGTTTCCCTACAGAGGCAAAAATACATATTTTCAAGAAATGAAATTTTCAACAAAATCTTATTACATTGAAATATGAACAAATAACAACTTCAATATGATTTCCATCATTTGTAATGTAAAGGTTATGCACTTTTCACGATTCACATGAACTAAATGCAATAACTCTACATTGCCATCAATTTTAACACATTCACTCTTTATGCATTTAATTAAGTGTGTTGCATTTGTGATGTTCAGTGAGTACATCTTCTCCTTTAGTATATAGTGACTCAGATTGAGGAATTGGAGAGCAGAGTTCAAATTCCAGTCAAATCCATTACGTTCACTTATGTGCTAATACCCTTGGGAAAGGTATAAATCCTCTTCTTCTGCCCCCAACTATGGGTAAATAGCAGGACAGACCGGGTTCTATAGCCTTAGATGGCAGCTGGTCTACTGCAGAAACAAATGGGAAGCTACTGTGGGGAAAAAAATCTGCCTTGTCAGTCATGTATCGAAAGATACATGATTGTTTAAACATGTATCATGCATGGCACATAACTGACTGATATCCCAGAAAAACAAATCAATTCTTTCTTTCTTTTTACAAAACCATGTTTAATCTGTGGAGGTAAAAAAAAAATATAGTTAATGAGATTTTCCTGTGTCCAGACTTTAGGGACACCCTGTATATGTCTGTGTTGTGCATGAGCGACTTATATGTGCTTGTGATATTTAATATATACAGAAGTGTCAACACACACACAATTTGACTGGACTCTAAGCCTACATAAATGATGGATCACTATGTGACGAAAACCCCCAACATGAGGACCTTGATGTCCCTTTCATGTGGCACTTGTTCATATTACTTTTTTCATCTTCACTTTCTATCATGCATAGGATGACAAAACTGTAATGTTAACAAAACAGCTGCGAAAATTGATATCCTCTCTGAGTATCCCTCAGCTAGCATTCATATTTGAGGCAACTTTAATATTCATCACACAGAGTGGTTAGTCCACTCAAAGAAAATCAATGAAGAAGACAGATACTGCTGAGACTTTTCCATTGCTTACAGATTGATGATAAGCCCACTCATGTTCTCAATGACATCATAGGACATCATGCAAACCTCCCAGACCTCTTCTTTACGTTCTTGCCTGTAAAATGCTCTGCTGAAGTGTTACCTCCCCTGATCACCTTATGACTATTCCCTGGTCAGTCATAAAGTTGATGTCAAACCAAGGGCATCCCCTGATATACAATTTCATAGAACAATTTTTCAGAACACCAAAGTTGACTAGGACAGCTTCAGATCTTACATGGTGGGAGCTCCTCTTTTAACATTCTTCAAATATGGAGCCTCCAGAGCAGCTGCCCTCATCTCTGAATGGATCCTTTTGAGCATGAAAAGTTTTATACACCAGACAAAAATTCCACCAAAAAAAAAATAGTCATGCAGTCATAGCTTACTGTAACCACCACTAAAAAAAATCTCTCACAGTCAACGGTATAGTAGGACACTTGCTGCATTCAGAACTGCCTGCAATTATTGCAAGAGATGTTGAGAAAATGCAAGTATGCACATTAATAGGGCAGGTCAGTTTTGGAACCATGTTATTGCACTCAATTTGAAAGTTAGGTTTTGACATGATAAATAATGACACAATATTTTTTCAAATCATTACCATTTGTTTAGGAAACAAGTTTAAAAATTAAGTTTAGGTTGAAAATCATAGCATTGGAATTTCATTCGTGATCAGTGAAAGCCTCATAGCATTTTTAATTTACAAATTGTATATGGACAAGATGCATAGCACAAGCACATTATTACTAAATCACTTTGCCATCAAATCAGACCTTCATTTACTTCAAAGGGAAGTTATAGTAAACAGTTTAGCTATATTATGATGCAATGTTATATAGTGCAGTAGTTTTAGTGTGATTTTCAATAAATAATGCAAATTTAAAACATTTTGTCTTATAATTTGTGCCAAGCAGTATTATGGTGTTATGTACACTTTTATCTATTTTTTGTTTTTATTAATTATGATCTAGCAAATCTTATTCATTGAGTAACCTTTTTTTTGTAATCTTTTACAATTTTTTCTTACAGTTTTTACTTATCAAATAATGTAAGAAAAAATTGTATATTTTGCTTGTGATAATTAGAATTTTGGTTTGAATATATTTCCCATTCAGTTTATCTTAAACAAAAGATACTAACTTTATTTGGATTTATTATTCAAATATCAAAATTTTGATTTTGCAATTTAAAATTACAAGTACCAGTGTACACTATTTATATAGCAATATAATTATGTCGGGATTGCTTACATATATATTTTGTATTGTTTTATTTTTCTCAAATCATCTGAAGTTTTCAAACTGGATATGTTGTGTCAACAAACAGAGGAATAGGAAACAACCTCACAGCCTGGGAATTATCACCCCATTTTTCTAACTGAAAAAAAAACAAAGAAAATACATAATTTATACAGTAGTTAGACCTTTATTGCAACCTTAATGCTATCAAAACATGACAGATCTTGTCTATTCCCTTCATAAATTTTTTTTATAATCAATTTTGCTCAATTTCCTGTCTTTGCGTCAAAAGACGTTCAAATACCTTTTGTAAAGAATTGTTATCAACACCTATCTACTTTGTGTTTTATTATCTATTATGCTAATTGAGTGTCTTTGCAGCCTTGCTGTTTCAAATAAGGGTTTTTTTTAGGCTGAGTAAAAATTCATGAAATGTGTACCATGTACAAGAAAATATGGTTATGTACATGCTCTTTTAATAGAATATGAAAAATATAAACACAGTTTCTGATTTCCAGAAATCTTAGGCATTATATTAACAAGCCTCAACTTAAAAAAGAACAAAGATTCCAATTTTTAATAACTCAATAATAAACTTATTGTTGGTATTTTAACAACTTTGTAGTTCTTGTTTTTTGGTGTTTTTTTTTTTTTACCTAGGTACAAATATAAATTTAGCCAATTGTATAATTACTGATATCATATTGATATTTCTTTGTATTTGTTCTTTTTGTCAGAGGCTGTATTCCTCCATTTATGGGGTCTGGAATATTCAGATCAACCCAATTTGCTGTATTTGAAGGAGTGTAAGTATTTACCTTACAATGTAAACATGAGTATTCTCCTTCCTTTACTCTCCATCACTATTTGTTCTTTACACTTAAACCAAACACGATAATCTCATCTTAATGTTTAATTACAGCAAAATCCTGCCAAGTTCAAATGTTCGATTTGAAATCATTACAAATAGACAGTATAAAACCCTTTGTAATTTATGCTAACATATTGAAACAATTTTACTATGAATTATCCTGAAATTATCTGTAGAGTTATTAGTAATCATCAGTGACAGCATCAGCATCTGCTTGCATCAGAATTGTCATCCACTCTCCTTATTCCCTGTCTCCCCTCTAACAGCCCTGTCCTGGGTAAGACGATAAACTACGTCTAACAGCAAGGCCTCTGATCAGGAGGTTTTGAGGAGCGTGGAACCACCTCTTAATTGCTGATGTTCCCAGGTCCACCCTGACCTGGGGTGGTAGCACTTGTTTGGGTCCCAGCTATGAGCAAATAGTTAACCCCCAAACTATGGTCAAAACACTATGAAAGTGTAAAAATAGCTTTTAATTCCAGAAATACTTTGTAAAAAAAGTTATTACTAGCAATAAGTTTTTGAAGAAAAAATTATTACAAGCAATGCATTTTTGAAAAAAGATATTACCAGCTATACTTTTTTGGAAAAATAATTACAAGCGATAAATTTTTGAAGAAAAAATATTACCAGAAATAGATTTTTGAAAGAAAAAAATGTTACCAGCAGTACATTTGAAAAAAAAACAAAACAAAAATATTACCAGCAATAAAAATCTTGTCAGCATTAAATAATCCATTGAGGTTGATATGCTGTAAAACAAACCAAACCAAACCCCTCTAATGGCAGGAGTCACAGAGGGTGGTAGATGCAGCTGTGTGAGTTGGGCCTTCCTGACAGCACATCACAGATCCACTTCATGTTGATGGTTGGACTTAAGTCTCAGTCCCCTCTCATATAAGTAATAACATAATCCTGTAAAAATATAGATTTCTGTAATTTTTTAAACAAAGTGCAATAAAGACATACAAGAAATCCTAAATAAGCATGCCATAAGTGCATAGGAAGAAGATGACATATAAGATAAATTTAGAGCATTTCCTTATATAAAGGAATATTTTGTTCTGTGTTAGAATTGACATCTATTTCACCATGACTTTCGTCCATGTTGGTCTATTCAATTCTTTTTTGTTATAAGTAAAGAGAATAAACAAAAGTTGAAAACAGCCAAAAATTTGTGTTTGATAAACATGATTTCCTTATCTGATATGTGGACATAGAAGCAACTTAACCAACCATCAATTTGCCAGAATTCACATAAAAATAACAGAAATCTGAGTTTTAAAGAAAAGCTTGTAAAATTATTATCATAAACATATTTCATTAAAGTAAGAAGTTAAAGAACCAATATCTTCACTAGATAAATAATGTGACCCACCCTTTCTGCTATGGTACAATGTCATTTTTATTACTATAAATGTTATTTTAGTGGGTTCTTGTGCTTGAGGGGACATTAATAGTAAAATTAATATCCGCTCGCCTTGGAGATAAGAAGTGTAAAAGTGTTAAAGAAAATGTATCTTTTCGCAGGGATTGAACCTTTATTCAGTTATCTTTGTTTTGGGGGCATGAGGTGGGTTTGATCCTGGGGAATACTGCATCTAGGTATGCAGTTCCCCATTATTGCACAAAAAGACAGTTGAAACTGGTTGTGAGAATCAAGCCATTTTTGTTCGTTTCCACATGTACATTAAACTGATCATGTGTCGCATTTTACTTTCATGAAGAGATAATTAAATGCTGTCAGTCTTAGTTGATAAAACTGATATATTATAATTAGTGAATATAGCCACTGTTGCTACCTTTTTACAACTCTAGTTAAATGAAGCAAATTTGAAGAAATTCACTGTCTACTGTAAGCCAGTAAAAAATAAAATTTCTGCCATTTTTGTCCTACTTTCAAAATGAAAGAAAAACTTATATGCAATCATTGTTTTAGCAAACATTCATTCCCTTTATTAAATTTTTTTGTCAAACTTAGACGTTCATGCCTGGGGAAAAAAAACCCCAAAAAAACAGTGTGTCAAAAAGACAGTTTTTCCCTTAACACCACGATTAGTTTAAATATCTTCACTCCCTCAGTAATGTTTATTGTTTTAAAAAGTGATTATTAGAATTGTAATAAAATCTAAACATATGAAAGTGAATTTATACATTTAACAGAAATAATAAACACTATTTATTTATTAGATTGTTTATTTACACTTTATTTATTGTTTATTTGAATGGTTGGGAAAATATTGCCTAATTGCCAATTGATTTAAACTGTTAAATAAGGATTTCTCTATAGTTGGTTCACATATTTTAACAATTTAGTAAATGTTTATAAATTTATGAATAAAAAATTGTTTTCATATTTATTTCTTTATAAATTGGTCAATGATAAATATTGTATTAGTTTTTAGAATGGTGTTTATATGAAATTATTCTAATAAATAGTGTTTAATATTTTTGTTGTAAATTCTCAAGAACCAAAAAAAATGTATAAATTCACTTTCATGTGTTTTATTACAATTCTAATCATCGCTTTTTAAAACTATATAATATTGCCAAGTAGTGAAGGCAGATTTAAACAATTGTGATATCAAGGTAAAAATTATCCTTTTTCTGTTAAAATCTCATAACTTTTTTTTTTTTATTCAGCTACACATTCCTTGATACACCTCTAGGTACTGCTGTTATTCCTGCCTCTGGGGGGATACAACTGTGAGTATTACATTATTTTCTTCATTTCCTTATATTATAATAATGTTTATTATTTATGAAATATTTGCTTTCAAGAACCTTCTCTAGTCTTTAACAATCTGTGGCTTCTGTGAATAATTTTTATTAAAGGAGTTTTGTTCTGTATTTACTATTTATTAAACAGTCAGTATGTACTAAGAAACAGTAATGATTAGAAAATTAAAATGTAAATCGTGTTTGCAGCTCTCAATGCTACTTAAGTAAAACTATGCTGAATAAATGAAGTTTGATTCTATGATGATTTCTATGTTCATAAAACTTCATTTTTTTTCTTAAGTATTAGGAGGTATGATTGAGTAATAGGTTGCAGCTCAGATTGAGGAATCAAAGAGTCAAGTTCATTGCATTCACTTAGATGCTAATAACCTTGGGAAAGGTATGAATCTGTCCATTCTCTTTTTAACTATGGGTAAATAACAGAACAGTCTGGGTTCTATAGCCATGGATGGTAAGCAGTCTAGGAGAAGGAAAACTCTGAATTCAAAACTGTAGTTACTATGCAGGGTTAGGGAATTCTATTGTTCACATTGACTTGATGATCCCAACTACAGTTGACTACTTTAAAAAATATTTTCAAGGATTTTCAACCTTTAGCTTATCATTTGGAATAATTGCTACTACTTAAAACATGTAAGAAAAATCAATCTTGGAACATCTGTCAGCACCCAATAAAGTAATGTATTGTTAGCACCAATTATGACCATTTTTGTCTATCATCATTTACAGTCGGACTAATATTCTTATCTTTGTTGTTATTGTCCTGACATTTTGGTCTTCAAGTGTCTGTTAATACCAGTAACCCTCAGGAATTTTCAAACACAACTGAATCCTTTATTTAATGAATGGGGTATGGTGGTAAACTATTCTTGTTTTCATGTCCCTGTGATAATAGCAACAAAGATGAGGACATTAGTTTGACTAATGAAAATCTTTGGGGTTGGGTTTAATTGTAATTTAAAAAAAAATATTTTCATTTTAATCATTTTTATTATGTATTGCAGCCTATAATCTTACCATAGCCATAATGTATACATTAATTCTGCTTAAATAGACTTTTAATCTTATTTCCAACTATAATTATGATTTATTGTAGCTTGTAATTCTATCAGACATGAAAATGTCTTGCAAGGTCAATGTTTTAATGAAAAATTTATTACTGCTTTTCTTTTAGATAAAATTTTCTATCTTTGGGGTTTTAGAGACTTTGAATATAATTTTTCTTTCATATACATTTTGCTTAAGAATGAAGACAGACGAGCTTACTGAAGCAAAATTTCAATATTTTTAAATTAAGAGTGGGGATGTCTACATTCATGCTCATCCTGATAATAATGATTCAATTTTTGTATAATTGCTTAAGTGTTTGCTACATAAGCTGAAAAGAAAATCGTATTAAAAAAGAATAAGAAATGAAAATTGCTGCATAAAATAATTATAACATTTTGTTAAAAAAATATTGGGTTGGCCAAAAAGTTTGGTTTATTAAATAAATTTTCTACTTAAACTTTTAAGCCAACCCAATATTTTTAATTACTAATTTTATATAGAAATAAATAATTAAATAAACATTATTTCACAAGCATTATTATTATTATACAAATATCATTCTTTTTATTTTATTTTCTCACTTTACACAAAAGAAAAATGTAAAACTAAGAAATATAGCGAAAAGTCATTTAACACTGATTAGTAGAAGTAAAGTTTTAAATTTTAAATGTCATCAGTGTGGTAAATTACAGAGTTTTTCCCCTTGTTTATTTATTGGCAAATAATCTCTTCTAAAATGAAAAACAATCTTAGTTGAGATATTTATCAGTTACATAGATAGATCTCCCGTTGTTAAACGGGACTCCTTACTCAACACCAAGAAGTAAACAGGCCTCGTGTTACCATAACAACAGAATATCTCGTATATCTCATGAGGAGACAAAGCTGCTATTACATTGTGCTTTTTATTTCATTTGTTTCATCTTAGATGTACCTATAACAATATTCAAACAGCATCTTTTTCTTTTAATAAGATTTCTCAAATATTTAGATGAAAATAAATATACTGTTCAAAAAATAAATGGAATATCTACTCAAATATGGCTATCCACTAAAAATAACATTTAAAGTGATAAAATCTGTCAGATTAATAAATAAAATATCCATTACTTCTTTAGAAACTACTGTAAATTGGAAGTCAGTTGACATCAAACTTGAGCCTTCACTGGCCTTTGAGTAATTATAAAGGTAAAAAAACTAATGTTTCTACCTTCTTTTTTTCTTTTTGAAATTTTTAGTGATTACTTTGGCATAACCAATTTCATGATATTTACTAATTATGTTGGAAATTGGAGATTTTAACAGTTAAAAGGATTTTTTTTCTAAGAAACTATTTTTCATCAGTGATAGATTTTCTCCTTACAATGCATTGCTGTTTGTTTAATTTTATTGAATATCTGAAATAATTTCTTCTTTTCTCAGAATTCCACTTCATATTGAATTTTCATATAAAACTAAATCCAAAACAAAATATTTTTCAACCTGTATGTGTTTCCTTTTGACAGTTATATATGAAATAACATTTCAAATTTTGTAAAATATTTGGTAAAAGCTAATGTTCAGATTTTTAAATGAATAAAAGTGATATAATTGAACATCAGTGAAGTGAACAAGCAAGATGAATGAACAATATTTCTTTTTTTCAGATAATTCCTTCAATCATAAATTCATACTGAATATATAAAAAAAAAAGCAGGTTTAAAAGATGTACTGTAATCCAAATGTTAAAATGAGTAAAAACACTTGCTTAAAAATTTATATCTTGTACTAAAATCCTGTTTTATATAATTTAAATAACAAGTTGAAAGATTCAAAGAATCTTGATTAAAATTATAAAACAAATATATACATTCTTGCACAGAGAGCTACTAAGTTCATGTAAATAAGTCATTATGGTTGTGATTAATCAATCCATGAGGAAAATATTCAGTTGATGTTGCTTAAGGTTTTTACACTGCTTAGATTGTTTTTTGTTTTTTTTGTTTTTTTGCCAGTGACAGCATTTAACAAAGATGCCTCAATTCTCTTGACTTTGTCTTGTCCTTTATACTACATCATGAAAGATTGTAAACTGTCAAAAACTTTATTAATGGAGACTGCAGAAGGTGTCAGTATCATCTAACTTTACTTATCATCTACGACACCTGTACTCCCCCACTCTTCTCTCAGGACCATGTTGATCATCTGATTATTGCTGAGGGTCTCTGTTCCAATGTCATCATATCCTCAATTTCTATCTTTTGTTCCTGGCTGTCTACAATTTTCAGTGATTTCAGTGGTCACCACTTTCATTTTTAATTTTTTAATTTTTATTTACCTATTAAAATTACTTCATCTATGTTTAAATTTACCAACTGGCATCAAAGCCAAATGACCGCTTCTTTACAGACACAGGAACTGTAATAAAGACTATAAACTCCATCACAGATTTGTGATCCACATATTTGTCTTAAAATCCAATATTAACAGCAAATTGAAATTTTGTTTGGAAAACCAGCATTTCACTTTATATGAATCATTACATGTGGCACTTTTTAGACAAGGAAAGAAAAATACATTTTTTTTTTCTTTTTCATTATTTTTTATTTAATTTTATAAAACTACAATTCTTTTGAAAGTCATTTTCAAATGTTTATTCTCTTGCCAAAAAGACCAGGTTACTTTAATTTTATTTTTGCATATCTCTTACGGGCTAACCTTCAATGGTTTAACCAGCAACTTATAAAAGCTTGGGAACAGACAAAAAAAATTATGCTTTTTACAAACCTATGAACAATAAATTTAAGTGCAGTTTATAGATAGACTGTATCCCACATTTAGTCATTTCTTGCTTTATATATAACTTCAGAACTTGCAGAAGTTAAAAGAATTCTGCAAAAATAAAAAAATTATACTGTAAAGATCCACAATGAAAGTTGATGCAGATCTAATAAAATTAATTTTAGCATTTACTGACTTGTGTCCCATATTGAGAGCAAGCAATTTTAAAAGAATTCATCTTTGTCAAGCTATGAAATTTATTGTGACATTGAGAAAGTTTCAAAAAGTATAAAATTAAAAGAAAAAAAAAAAACAACTCCAAATAAATCTAATGTAAGAAAAGTAATTTCTGTGTCTTTTTATGTAATGCTAAAAATTAAAAGCTATTTTAAAATTATTTCATAAAATTTAAAATGTATTTTATTGAAACATTTTATTTCTAAACCAGCCTTTTTAAACGCTTAAAGGTTTTTAAATTTTAGTTTAAAGAAACAAATACAAAATACTTTGTGTTGACCTAAATGTAATTGATAAGCTTTTTCTGAATGTACTTTTCTTTTTGGTCAATTTGAAAGGAAAAGAAAAGATCTTTTTATTTACATCTAGAAAATAGTTTGGAACATTTTCACTTTTCAGCTTTTCTTAATCTCCTAAACTTGTCATAAGGAAATTTAACTAACAAAATAAATGTGACTGTATTTTAATGTTGCTAATATTGTATGCTATTACTGAAGTATTTTTTTTCTACTGCCCAAAAAAAAACGAACTTTAAGTAAATTTAAGAAACGTTTCATAAAACGCTAAAACAGAAAAGCTTTAAAAAATTTTTTTTTTTTTCATACTTGTATTCCAACTTGAGGGATTTACAGATGATGTATTAAAAGGGTAAAAAAAAAAAAAAATATTTCCCATAAATTTCATTGATCATTAAAAGTTGTCTCCCTTAGACCAGTAGCAAAAAGAATTGCCATCCCTCAAGCAATTCTGTGCGAGAAGCAGACACCTCACATATATTTCTTATTTGCTTTTTCTTTTCTTTTTTAAAATTAAAAAGTTATTTTTGTTTTTAATTTTCCACTCAGCCGAATTTTAGCAGGCGGTGTCTGTGCAGCAACTGCACGGGCCATCATTGAGACCCCTCTCGAGTATGCTAAGGTGAGATGCCGGTTTCTCTCCATGTCATTCTCCTACGTGTGTTCTTTATTTGGTGTTATTTTTCTTCAGGAATAAGTATTCTTTGTATTAAAAAAAAAAAAAAATGAAAAAGAAGGCATGGTGGTGTTGATAACCCCGGTGAAAGTTTTCATTTTCTGCATTTTATTTCTGTATTTTTTCTTTATTTTTTACACTGCAAACAATTACTTACAGATCTACTTCAGTTTCTTCCTATAACTAACAGGCATCAAAGAAAATGCTGCATTTGCACAGTATATGACATCATTATGAAGTAATTTATATATTTATAATATATATCTACTTTAATATATTTTCTGTTTATGCATTATTTTTATAGATACAAATATTTAATTAAACGCTCTGTTTATAATAAACAGTATTAACTACATTTATTGGTCTGAATGTCAGAAATTTTATAGAAAATGTGTGTCCTCCGACAGGAATCGAACCTAACGTGCTATGCCATTTAGCTACAGAAGAAGCATCTAGTTAGCAAGTTCAAATTACTATTTTTAAACTAAAAATTTTCCATGATTTCTCTCAAACACTAATATCTGCTTGAAGCATAACATAAACAAATGACATCATATATTACGAAATGAACTAAGTCTGGCAATTATTTTAATATATTTTCTGTTTATATGTTTGAGAGAAATCGTGGGAAATTTGTAGTTTAAAAGGGGTAATTCAACCTTACTAACCAGACATTTCCTCTGTAGCTGAATGGTATAACACATCAGGCTATATTACGGTTCCATGTAGAATACAAGTTTTGTTTCCTGTCAGATGACATATTTTCTATGAAATTTCTCGGTTGGTAAATGTTAATACTGTTTATTATAAACAAAGCATTTACTTAAATATTTGTATCTATAAAATAATAATGTATAAATAGAAAATATATTAAAATAATTGTCAGACTTGGTCCATTTCATAATATAATATATATATATATATATATATATATCTATAAAATACTAAAATTCTAATCTTCTATGTGTGTGTGTGCTTGAGATACAACTTAAATGATACATAGTACCCCCAACCAATTTAGAAGTATATTGTACCTTGAACCACTCCCTATCAAGTGCATTTGCAAATTTCATTAAAATAATACAAGATGTTTTTGAGCTAAGACCGTTTTTCTGTTTTTACAGTATTTTTAATAGAAAATTCAATATTTGTTTTCAATACACATTCTTATATCAATCCCCATATATAAACACACTTGCACATCATGTCCCGACTGTTATGTGTGTGAAAAATAATAAACATTCATAATACATTATAACAACATTATTAAATAAATTTAAATATGCATAACACAATATATTATTCACTACACTACATTATAATATTTTTGTAAACTACTTGAAATGTGAAGAGGCTATATGTGTCACATGACTTGATGGTAAATAAATAAATAGATGCTGATTTGCTGCTGTTACCTGTTTTGAAATAAATGTAAGGAAGAAATAAATATGTATAATAAAAAATATACTTATTATTTTGAAAAAACTTCTACACTTGTTTTAAGCTGTTCCTCTAAATTTTCATGCATTGTGTTAACTATGAAGCCCAGTGAAACAATAAACCTTCTTTTACCATCTTTATTATTAATTTTGTATTCAAAGTATATTTTATGCAAGAAATGTAAAGAAGTAAAACATAAATCTATTACTATTGTAAAATAATTTATTTTCATACTTGAAATCAGGGTTAAGGCATTTTTGGTGCTTTTCATTTGTTTTCAGGTTGGATACATTTTTGCTTCTTATCAACTAATAATAAAAATTATGCTTATTATTTTGAAAAAGGCTACACCTGTTTTAAGATATTACTCCAAATTTTAATGCAATGTGCTAACTATAAATCCCAATGAAACAAACCTTCTTTAACCATCTTTAAATACAAATTAAAATGTATAATTAATAATAAAGTTGATAATATTGTTACCTCATCATTTTGTATCATGAACTTCTTTTCAAAGAAATCCAACAGGTTTATGAGTGGGCTAATATGTATATTTTTTATATATATATATATATATATATATATATATATATATATATATATATATATATATAGGGAGGCACAGTGGATTAATGAATAGCAGCTCTGATTGAGGAATCGTAGAGCTGAGTTTGAATTCCAGTTGAATCCATTACATTCACTTACGTGCTAATGCTCTTAGAAAAGGTATGAATCCTCTCTCCTTCACTAAGATTGACATTAACCAGCATGGTACATTAGGCAAAAAAATTTTAAGGAAACTTTCTGCAGTAATGAGTCAATTTCATTATTATTGAACATATGATAGAACCCTTCAAGAAGATTAGGTCTCTCTAGCCTGAAGTAAGCTTGGAAATTAGTTTTAAAAAGCCACACAACCTTTGATTTTTAGCTGAATGTTTGAAATTTAGAGGGCCACCCAAAACTTTTGGCCTATAGTGTACACAGAAATAATATTACTTTTTCTGTTCCATCACAAAACAATAACAATTCTGGGGGGAAAAAAACATCTCTTGTAAATATGCATTGACATTTTAGAATTTGTAGCTGCTAAATTTAACCTGAAGTGAACATTTGTTCAATTTTTTGCCCAGTTTGAGTAAAAATAGGAATTTATATAGTTTACATTTTGTATTGAAACACAAAATTTACACAGTATTTTGAGCAAATGCAGAGAGATGTTCATGCAAATATGCAACAAGACAAGCTCTCATTTGGAGAAAACAAATCATAAACAAATACACATTACAATGGATAGCAGCTCTCTTTTTTTTCTTTTGTAGCAGCATAAAATGGAAGTGAACATTAGTATGAATAAGACATCTAATATGCTGACAACATGAATGCAACAGTCATGTGACATCTAAATTTGACACAGGACAGCAGTCAAACTGGTTAAAATGTGTTTAATATCCATATGAATTTTTTTTTAACCTTTATCACTCTGTATGTGACTTCATTTGCTTTCAAAATGTTTATCCTGCCACTGAAGATGACTGATCCCTGAACAATAGTTTGCTTGAATTTCATAGTTGTGTTGCTATATCCTGCTATGGCAACAGAAAACAACTGAGTGAGATTAACAATAAGGATACTTCTATTGAGATCCCTTGAAAAAGAATGCAGTAGAAAGGGAAGTAATATTAAAAATGCAGAGTGCTGAAGGTTAACAAATATGTTTGCTTAGTGATTTGAACTCTTTCTTACATATTGGTTATTTTGGGTTATAGATATAATTTGATTTCAGACATATAGTCCCAGATATGGCATGGGTGGAAAAAAAGTTAATATTTAGTTCTTGTTTTTAACATGCATCCTTAAATTTCAAGTTTAAAAATATAAAAAAAATATGCGTGTTATACATAACTACAAGTTGAGGACAGTGAAATACAAATTTTTAAGTAGTATTTCCTGTAGAGTTATGCAAGTGCTTAACATTGCTCAAGATAATCTTTGGCTGATCAGTGCAAATATTCTCCAAGTGATCAGTAAAGTTTTTTTTATTATTATTTTAATAATTTCAATCCAAGCAAGGTGATAAAGCCACTAAGATGTAAGCAGTTACAGAGTGTAAAGGAATCTGAGAAAAAACAGCAGTGACATCCTTTTTGAAGATGACAACATTGAAGATAATGAAGACACACAAGCAACATAGACAAAAGTTGTCATGACGTTTATCTTTATCATGGACAGCGATGGGGCAAGCTAAAATGTGCTTAATATCTATGTGAAGAACTTTTTTAAAACAAAATGTTTGCTTAATGATTTGAACTCTTTCTTACATATTAGTTACTTTGCACCATAGATATAATTTGATTTCAGACATATTGTCCAAAATATGATGTATGGGGAGGGTTAATATTTAATTCTTGTGTATAACATGCACCTTTTAGCTGTTAAGCTTAAAAATCTAGAGGGAGAGTGCACATTATGCTTATAATTGCAGTAAAAATTTATCTAATATTTCCAAAAGAAAGACAATGTTAAGGTGATTTAAGTTTGAAGTTAAGTTTCTATATTTTAGAAAATTTAAAATCCCTTCATCATTTCTGCAAGTTTCAGACAAAAAGATGTACTACAATCAGTGATATGCAGATGTTTGGTGATGCCTTGGGCCAACTCCTTGATTGTATGCACCCAAGACTCAAGTGGGAGGGGGAAGTGGCCATAAAGCCGAGTACTGAGAAATGTGAAAAAGGAAGACATTTTAAATATGTAAAAACAGAGAAAATATGAAATAAATATTTTATTCAAATTAAAAAAAATATATATTTTATTATTCAATGCTGGATGTGTTACACTGAACTCCTATCAAGTGTTTGTTTAATAATTAATTTCATTAGACTTTTATATATATATATATATATATATATATATATGGTTTATTGACACAGTTTAATATTAGTTATGCATCCATCAGATAATAAGAAATAAAATATAAATTTCATAGATGTAAAATGTAATTTAAATTCATGAAAAATTTTTAGTCCTGCTTAGTTGGTTCCTAAGTAACTTTTTAATTCATTCACTTTTTATTAAATAATACAAATAAAAATATTAACTGAAACAATTGACTTTTTTCAGTTTCAAATAAAGTAGAAGGTTGTGGGGAATCAGAACAAAGGGATGCACAGTTATAGACACACAGTGTGTGTCCGGATAGTATCCAACCATTTTGAATATCTCAAGGGACAGTTGAATGGTCTCTGATGTAACTTTGTAACCAATCATAAAATAGCCTTACTACCCATCCATGGACAGACACTCTCCTGTGGGTTACTCACACAGCAGTGAAATGTCAAGAATCAAGCTTGTATAATCACATTCACACTGACTGAGCAAGTTGTGCTTCAGACTCAAATATTCACCTACAGAAACTTTATTAAGAATGCTTTTATGAATGATTCAATAAGTGAAGCCCTGATAAAAATTGCTTCAACAATTGGTCAGGAATCTGTTGAAAATGATTCCTTTTCTGGAATGCCTTCAGCAAGCAGAACACCTGAACATGTTAAACATGCGATGGCAGCAATCAATCAAAA